ATTGTCTCCCAGGCTGGGTGCTTGTGGTCGCGGGTTTGCGGCTGGCTTGTCTCCCACGTCGTTTCATTTGTCATATTTGTCTCCCACTTCTTTTCATTGTCTATTCATTTGTCTTCCAGGTCTGTCGCTGGTGGTGTCCGCCCTTTTCCGATGTCGATGCAACATGTTTATTCATTTGTCTCCCAGCTTTGATTCAGACATCAATTTGTCTCCTTGTTTCCGGCACTTGTAGAGTGGTCAGCTTCCTAGACAGGATCACAGGTTTGTGTCAGATCCAAATGCGCGAAGAGGAAGCCTAGTTATGTTCTACAGTGTCTTTGCTACTGTTCTTTGATTTTGGGCTATTGACAGCTCAACTGCATTGCTGTGGCTTTAAGTTGCGCATCGCTGCAAAGAGCTCCAAGAAACAATCATTGGTCCATCAATACCATATTAGACAGACGCCTATATGAGAGCTGGCCGCTCACCTATCCTATTCCTACAGTCGGTCTCGCGCGTGGGGAATTGTTGTCGTGCACAATTTGTAGATGCAAGGTTCTACTTTTAATGTTTACTTTGTACAGTCTACTCTGTCAACATGGCGGCCGACTTGTTTCCTGCAATGGGAAGCTCACACAGAGTGGACTCGCTAAGAGCACGCTTGCTGCGCTTGTTGGCCCCTGAGCCGTTGTACTTCAAGGTGGGGCGCAGGCTTTAAAAGTTTGAAGGTTGCAGGTTCGATGATTTGGATTTTCAATACTTGTCAAAGCTTTGCAAGATTTGTCAAAGCCTTTGTTCAGTTCGCAGGGATCCTTGCGCGCACCAATGTGCTCTGATGAGCGGCAGATTCTACGTTCGATTTTGCAGGACCCGTTTTGCTTTGAGAGTGACTGGCCAACGGCGAATTGGGAAAGAAGAAGGGCTGCGAGATGCACTTCATTGTTTCATCATGGGATTTTGTTTTTGAATTATAGTGGGGAGCGAGCGTGGATGACGCGATGTGGAACGAGTTACGATTTACGACGTTGGCGTTGAACGAGTTAGGATTTACGATGCTTCCGCGATTTTAATTTGTGAGAACTTATTTCATGTGGCGCTGACCGATTTGCGACGTTTGTGCGGATTTGCATTTTTTGGTAAATTTATCGTATTTTGTTGAACGACTTGCGATGTTTGTGCGGATTTGCCTTTTCTGAATATTTGGCGTTGAAAGATTTCCGACGTGCGTGTGGAGTGGATTTTGGCAAGTTTGTTGCACTTGGCGTTGAGCGAAACATTTTTTGGGGGGGGGCAAGGCGGGCACAAAATAGAAATAAAGCCACGATGACGTTCCAGTAGACCGCCGGGTACCGCTACGCACCACGCGCTGCGACGTGACGCGGAAACTACGTGACGCCAAAACATTCTGAAACGTAGTTCGGCTAGAGGACCTTCAATTGTGTGAAGCCCAGTTCGGCCAGAGAATCTTGCTACCTTACTGCCCGCCAAATTTCTGAAACCCAGTTCGGCTAGAGAATCTTGCTACCTTAGCGCCCGCCA